GTGTGCTACCTCTGAACTCTTCATACCACAACCTGAGAGCATACTTTATTCCATTTGCCCCCTTCCCCCCCAACAAAGCTTATTTATTTAAGAGACAATTCTGAGAAAAAGTGTTAATTTTTTCATAACTAGATACAAAAGTTTTAGGTTTAATTTTGGTTGCTTGTTGTTAAGAGTTTCTATATAAAACCTTTGCCATCACAGGGCCATTTCTAAAGTTCTGTCCTGTTTACTACTGCATTTAAGTGCCGTTACCGTAACATTCATATGAATCCTTTTTATTAATGGGATGAGATTGATCGTGTTCCAGGAATCTGTCAGACTCTCAGGTGTTAGGAGGAACACAGAGACATCTTTTAATACCCTTGATGCCAAATGCACAAAATATTGACACGCAATTTTTAGCGAGTGAGCATTAAAGCTAAACACATTTCAGAAAGGACTTGAAATGAGGGTTTTGTGCTATAAAGGTAACTAATCTGCTTTTCTTTTGGTTGGTTCCTGACCCTAAAAGGAACCAAGAGTTTTGTTTGTTGCTCCAAATGAAAAATGTGATAAATACTCCACTGTAATATAAGTTGAAGTTACGATGGAGGAAGTGCTTTATGTTTACAGAGTCGTGACATTTTACAGGATGTAAGAACCTTTGTTGACCCAAGGGAGAAGAAGAACTGCCTTTTTGCGGGAGCTAAAGCAGGACCTAATAAATGATATGAGATATCTTTGTTTATTTTGAAAAAGAGGTAATTAACAATCAACATATTTATGTTTATAAAATGGATGTATAGCATTTTGGAATCTAACAAAGTATTTTTCTTGGCAGCTATTATTCTGCACAATTGATCTACTGTGTTACAAATATAAAGTTGGTGGGGTTTCTGACTTGAATTAGGCCTACTGGATGTAATACCTTCATTTACTTGACATTTCTTTTGAAATAAGCCATGCCCCATGGATAAGCCATACCCTCCAGACCCCTGATGTTATATGGTGGATGTTTAATGTTGGTAGTTTTATTTACAATGGTAGTTATTGTGGGTATGATTGCGCTTGTAATGATTATCATTAGTGTAACTATACTTAATTGATATGATTTGTTTTGTTTGAACAAAGGGAATGTATTCATTTTTAAGGTGATTTCTGAGTGATTTCAATAAATTAATAAACCCCTAAATTGAGATTTTTATTATTTATCCATGTTAAGAGTGTGTGGGATCAGTTTAAAATATGAACAATACCACCATCTTGTGGTGTAAAGGGACTAAAGACAAAAAATAGCAGAAACCTTTTAGAAAAATGTGCAGAATATTTTTGAATAATTTATAAATATTCTGAAATTTCACTCAAAATTACAGGACAATTACCATAAAGCATTCAATAGAATTTTTTATGTTGATGTTGAAAATGCTGAAAATTCCAATTTAAATTGTTATGAAAAATTCCTCAAATATCCCCCAAAATAATTAAAACATTTTGTGAAAAATACATACACACATAGCACTGTTAACCTTCTTTAGTATCCACTACTCTTTTTTTAACACTTCGCTCTGTTTTGCCAAAAAATTCCTTTCCTGCTTTAATTTGATATATTAGCTATTTACGTCAGTCTGACATAAACAGTAAGATTTAGGTTTATATATATTTTTAATTTATCTCTGTAAACAGTTTGAAAAAAGGGCATCAAACACTAATCCACTGACTAGACTAATGATAACACAATAAAAATGTAGATTAAAAATATCTTTATTTGCTTCTCGAACAAGCGACAAAAAAGGTTTTTCACTCTTGACGATTTAAAACTAAGACAATAACAATCCAGATGTACAGTGCAGTTTATTGTTGGTCCAAACTACAGTAGTAAATATGTGCACAGTAATTTTATACTAATAATAAACCATCTTACACTATTAATAATCATAAGAAGGAGAAGAAAAAGAGCAATAGTGAGGTTGCGTGCAGTTGTGGCTTTACATAGTGGACACTGCAGTTGGGAGTGTTGACACTGGTTTGTGTGTCTTTGTGTCAGATGGAGTTGTGTGGCTGTATGTGTTGAGAGGAACAGCCACTTGCCCAGCTTGTGCCGATGACACCTTGGACACAATGGCCAGACTCAACTTGAGGAGCACGTTGTGGAGCGCCAAGCGGTATTCTTTTCTAACCAGGCAGTAGATGACAGGGTTGAAGCAGCTGCTGGTGAAGGCCAAGCAGTTAGCCAGAGGGAAAAAGTATGTTTGAGCCGAGTAGAACGAAGAGCTGATATCAACGATGTCGAGTTGGATCAGGACACCCCAAAGCGTGAGGACATTGTACGGGAACCAGCAGACGCAAAACGAAAGCACCACCACCGCCACAGACTTTGAAATGTCAGACTTTCGCCGAGAACCTTTCAGTTTGTGGCGACAGAGGAAGCGCAGCAGAAGCAGGTATGATAGGACTATGATGGTGTAGGGCAGCAGAAAACCCAGCACCATGCGCAGGAGCTGGTTTATTCCGAGCCAGGCTGTGCCATCTGGGAAACGGAGCAGGCACGCTGTGTCGTTGCCACTGCCCACGAGGCTCAGGTCAGCAAACACAGCTCGGGGCACTGCCGCTATCAGTGCTCCGGCCCAGATAAAGGCTGTGGCCACCGGAGAAGTGCAGGATCTTCTGCACAGGGAGGCTCTGGGTTTGAGAGCAGTCGCCACGAAGCAGTAACGGGTCAAACTCATAGCTGTGAGGAAGAAGCAGCTAGCAAAGACATTCAGTCCAGTGAGTAAGGACACGGCCTTGCACGTGGCCAAGCTAAAAGGCCAGCTGTAGTCCAGCGCAATGTCCACGGCCCAAAACGGCAAGGCCAGGGAGAAGAGCAGGTGGGCCAAGGCTAGGTTGAACACAAAGAAATTGATGGTGCCAGTGTTGATGGTGTGTGTGGAATAAAGCAGGAACATCACCAACAAGTTCCCCAACACTCCGGCAGTAGCCACGACGAAGTACACGACGGAGATGATGATTCGTAACCAGGGGGATCCATCATCAAGACTCTCCAGCCCATTGTCATAACTTATGTTGTGGAAATTTAGGTGGGAGTTATTACAGAACAGGCCGATGCTGCAGCCGCTCAGGATGCTGCGGAAGAACTCAAGTCTCTTGAAGTCAATGTTTGACATTTTGACAAACTGTTGATGGTCAATGTCGACACGTATTATTGAAAATGTTGATCTCTCGTCCTCCTTTTGTGAGGAAAAAATTAAAAATGTGAGGTTCTGGTTGTCAGTTTATTGGCTGACAGTCATCTGTCCCTGAAAGGAAAGCGGAAATCATTATTACATAATGGCAGCCACAGTTTATGAGCAAATAAGTAGATTAGTCTTGTCAGATAAACAGATTAGGCTAAAGTGTTAGCCACAGAGTTAGCTAATCTTATTCACATCTCAAAGAAATAAATGTCTCTGGGAGGACACACAAATAAACGTATTCCACATTTTGAAGTAGAAAAGCCTGCGAAGAATCTTCACAGATAACTCCAACATATTCTGTGACATCATAAACATAATATATAATATTCTGTAAATGTCTATTGCCAACATTTATCAAGAGTTTGAAAATTAGGAGTTTTACATTTAATATGAAATTAAACAAATATATCTGGAGTTTAAATCAATAGCATCTGGAACAATGTCCCAATGTTTGTCAGGACGATGATATGGCAAATTTTGATGTCATTTTGTTAACTCACACACTTTGCAGGAGCTTTTTAAAAAGAAATCACTTCCTTTATTTAATTTTGTTTACATTCTTGTAACGGTCTAAATCAAATAAAAAGCAAAAGCTGCCATCTACATGTGTGATTTCATTTTCAAGTCAATATTTGAAAACAACCAGCAAAGTGATTAGATAAGTTTAATTAGTATGATTTTTGTTAAACTTGTTGATTTAAAACAGTGATGAAAGACGTTCTTGATTAACTCTCATATGCCACCACATTTCACCATGACAAACTACAATGCACAAATCACTTGGAAAACAAAGATAACAATGACTGTTAAAGGAAAATGTACCAAAAAGACTTATTCAATTTTTGTCCTTCACTTTGTTTTACATTCAACAATCCAAGCTACCATTTATTTCTTAGCTCGAGAAACAGTGGAATAAGTAACTAAAACATTTAATTTGCAGAGATGAGTCAGGACTGTGGTTTGTTTTGAAACAAGAGTTCACAGAAATAAAATAGTTCAATATACTGAAGTTGTTTGGCCTTTATTTTCAGATTGTCCGTTTATTACACAAATTCTCAGCTACATGTAGAAAAAATTTAACTTACCTGGATATTTAACATTGGAGGCAGATCTTCAGTATTCAGAGAGTTGTAGCCACCAGCTCTGCAGCGTAACACAGAACGACAGCAACAACAATATGTTTGTCACCCACCCTGTTTTCATGCTCCACCCAGCATCATCATTTCCACTCTGCATATTACAAAACACCTGCTCCACCTTAAACCCTAAAAGCAAAAATTGATAAGGATGGAATAATAAAATAAAAAACAATTAAACCAAAGAATTTTACAGAAATACCAACACATTTTTTTTGGAAACTGGACCATTGGCCAAGTTAAGAGTTTCAATTTTTGTGTTTTGAGAAATGAATTAAAGAACAGATTTTTTTCTTGAATCTCCTTGGTTTATGTATTTTAGTTAAATAACTCCCCCGTATGTTTTATTTACTTTAACACAAATCTGGTGTAATTGCAGCATCATAGAACAATGAAATCATATGTATAATATAATCTCTTCTGTTAATGATAATAACCATGTAGAATATATGTATGTAATTTAAATATGTTGTCCTAAATGTGAGTCACTAGTGATCAAATCCCTGAAATTAAAAGTATGTGTTCTACATTTGCTTGACCTTCCTTGTTCCTTCATCTAACTGTAACCTGCTGTTTTTTATGAATTTAGCTACTTTTGCTGTTGAGTATTGTTGTTTGACTTTTGTTAAAGCACTTTAAAAAGTGCCACATGTTAAATAATTAAATAAATAAGATATGCACCAGTTTGAGACTTGTCTTTCTTTTTGTTCAGATATTTATTGGGGTTTCCCTCATCCTTATTCAATCAACCCTGTTTGTAAAATTTCTTGATATCATATCAATGTTATCCATCTGGGATATGCTGTTAATATTAATCAATATCAAAGGTTAATCGTTCATATTTTATCCATGAATTTGATAGTATCATTTCAGAGTAAAAATGTCATTATCTGTGGGTCTTTGCATGGAAGAACACATCAGGGGTGTTAAATGCAGTCTGACCTCACGTACAGCTAAAATAAATGAGACAACTTTGACAGAAAATTAGGCAATTTGCTTTTTCCTCTTCTATTTATATCTGTTGTGTTGCCTTGAGATTAAATTGAGCAGCAGAGATGACTCTTCATTAAGAAATGTTGATAGTGGAAAGAACATCAGCACTGACTGACTAAATGAGATTAGCCTGGAAGAGGCGGAAGCGTGGGGAAGTTGATTAATGCTGCTCTGAACTGAGCCATCCTCATAGAATCACTGGACAAAAAAGCTCCCACACTCGCAATGTTTCCAATGAAACAACAATAGTTTTGCCAGTTTTTCTCATTGACATATCTTTACCTTCATTTTATTGTAACAAATGAGGTTGCTACACAGTGATTGAAGATTGTAACTTTAACTATAAACCGTTTTATCAGTGTTTGGATCAGACAAGAATCTTCCCAAGTTCTGTAAAACTGTAGATTAATGAATCCCTGCACATTCAAAGCAGCATATCTGTTAAATTTACTCTTTGGAATGTTACAAAAAATGCCATCACCTCTAAAACTCACTAATTAAAACGTTATAGCTCATTCATTGTAATCTGCATGAAACCCAAAGTGTAAAAATGAGGGTGTAAGTGCTGGAAAAATAATTTGAGGTGTAAAGGATTAAGTTAAATTTTGGACAGAGACAGGGGTTTTCTCTATGCTAAGCTAAGATGACCACAAGTATACACATCTTAAATAAGTCTTGGTAAGAAGGTGCAGCTGCACTGCAGCATGACTCAAAACTCATTAATTAGCAATCCATTCAATTTCAATCAACTCACCCTAATTCTTTGATTTCCCAGGTTTTTATTCCGTAGTCTCCTCTCATATTTAAAAATGTGTTTTGTTCTCATGCACAATCAACTGAAAAAGACAAAAAATGTCCCAAGAAGAAATGTTGCCTTTTTAAACTCACATTTGGTGTCAGCTGATCAGAGGTATATTTTAGTATCCACTTTTATAAATGGATTACATACTGGGGTCCATGGAGTCTCTAACACCATGATGTGTGCACTTCTGAGCACGGCAGCTGAGTTGAGTGCCATAGGTCTGTGAGGACAGTGTTTTGTCGCCACCCATTGTAAGAATGAGAATACAACACTTGTGTCAAAGAGAGGAGGAAGAGGAAGAATAGGAGGAGGAGGCCTGGAGTGGGCTCCCCTCAGCACTCACTGTCTGTTAAAGTGAGCCCTCTGGTGACAAATGTTAGACCCAACAACCAAAAGCCTCCACTCGCTGTGTGATGGAGTTGTTCAGGGAAGGAATATGAACACAACTTGAAGACACAACTAAATAAACAGAATCTATCAGTCAAACATTTCAACCAAATTAAAATCAAATTTAAAACTAAAACTTCACACTTCAAAAGTCAACATAAAGCCTTAGGTGGAGGTGTTGATTTGTGGAGTTGGAAATCAAAGCAGACTTATTAAACTGACAATGTAATTAACAACTGAAGAGATGAAATCTGTCCAACTGTCAGATTCTATTGTGCAGCCACAAATGAATCCTGAGATGCACAACAACACAGAAATATGCTGCATATTCTTCAATTATCTGCCAGTTTATCAGCTCAAACTGTCACATACTGGTGTGTCTTAAAACAACAGATGCCCATATGAATACTAAACAGGTTTTACTTGCTGTAATTATTTCTCTACTTCTACTCTGCTGACCTGTATGTCAGATCAAAGTGACGTCTTTCCTCAGTTAGCATGAGCTTGAAGCTTCATCAGTACCAGAGCAGTAACAGACCAGAGGCTCCTTCAAGTGTTGAGGTGATCATCCTGCTCTTGGTATTTTATATCTTTAAAGCAACACTATGTAACATTTACTGATTACCAAGAGCGCCCCCTGCAACCACACATGGGGATTCATTATTTTTTGATCTGTGGTCGAGCAATTACATGATTTTCATTGAGAGAAAAAACAAATGCTATCAATCTTCTGACCAGAGCTCTGACTTCAATGTTCACTTAACTGAAACGCAACTAAACGGAGGATATTACCCATGATGCCTGGCTTCCTAAACTAGAAGACCTGCCACTGTAACAAATACACCAAACTCTACTTAGAATCCTTGATAATTCAAAGGTTTCCAAGCTGAATATTGGAGATAAACACTGTTTTTTGATGACTTATAAGTATTTTTAACTTATCAACAGTTTGGAATTACTCTTGACCTTGTTGGGTCTGAATCAGACAGTTTCACAAGAGATGGAAGCTGCACCATTCTTCCATTCCCAACTCATTGCACCATAAAACAAAATTTGAAGCTGCTCATTTTTGTCATTGTTGATATTATTACCTCTGCCAGGGAAGTTATGTTTTACTGCTGTCTTTTTGTTTGTTGGTTAGTTTGATTGTAAGAAATATTACACAAAAACAATAGAATGGATTTGCACAAAACTTGGTGGAAGAATACAGTTTGGGTTTTGGAAGAAAAGATCAAGAGCTATTTTTTTTTAAAACTTTCTTTCAAAATGTTTACAGTTTTCCCAGGAAATAGCAGGCGAATGTTTTATTAACGTGTCTATCTTTATCTGTATTGCGTGTAATGCACTTTGAGCTGCATTTCTCATATGAGAGGTGCTATACTGATATGTTTATTATTACTATTATTATTATTATTGTTGTTGTCCTTGTTGTTTAACTAGATCCCACTCTCCTGCGCTTTTATACATTTTATTACCTTCTTTCTTCTTTTATTCAATGTTTTTTCTTTCTTTTTCTTTTAAATACCATTTTAACACTTTCTTATGTTACTTTTATTTTTACGAACATGTTTCTATTTGTATCTTTACTTCATGTAAAGGACTTTGAGCTGCATTTCCTGTATGAAAGGTGTTAAAGTGAACTGTCCACATTATCTTTCAGTCTGAGGGTTGTGGTCTATATTCGGAGAGCTGGGGGCCCTCCGGTCTCTCTCCACCCAGGGGCCCCATGTTCTCACGGGCCCCGCGTCACCACTAGAAACGAATCAAAGCTAAGTGGTGCCAACATCCCGCGCGCGCGCCCACGTGTCACCTCTCGGTGGCTGCAGGTTGCGGTGGATGAGGCGGTGCCGCGCGCGCACGCCAGCTCTCCATTAACGTTAATAACGTTATCTCTCGCGTCACTCATCCCCCCCCCACCCACCCCACTCCACCCCCCCCGACGACGACCGCCGCTGCCGCCGCTGCTGCTGCTGTCTGCCCGGGGAGGAGGAGGCGGAGGAGGACGGGACTGCGGTGCAGGTGCTCCGCTGCAACTGAAGGAGGGTGAAGTTTGAAGAGGAGGAGGAAGGTGAAGCTCAGCGCCCCGGAGTGTTTCATCACTTCAACCGCCATTGTTTTGTTTCTTAACGGTGATTCCTCCAGGAGCGACCCGCCGCCCAACCTCAGCCCGAGGTAAGAGCAAGTGACGCTGAACTAACAAACAGATAGCGGGGCTCGTTGTTGTGTGTCGGGGCTCTGCGGGCGCTCGTGTTGGGGGGTTTGTGTGGGAGTTTGTTCGGGGGGAAAGTTAGCTCCGACCATCCCGTCCGGGGGAGGCTGTAACGCGGATGTCAGTTATAGTGGAACGTCGCCAGGTCAAGTGTCCTCCGCGGCAGCCGGAGACTGACCCCGCGTTGTCCTCGTCGTTATCCGGCGGTTGTAATTGTCTTTGCTGGGGTTTGGCTCCGCCGAGGAGCGAACACTGTCACCGCACGCAAACTTGTGGTTAAGTGAGCGCAAACGGGACAGACAACAAGGCTGCCATTGTACCGGATCAGCGGCGGATTAACGGAATTCCTCTTTCTCTGCACCGTCTGAATGGCCTCCAGTCTCCCTCTCTCTGCCTGCCTGCACCCGTGGCCCTCGATTTATATCTGATCCAAACATTTGACACTTTGGAGAAACTGACCCACCACCAGCAGCTGCAGCCAAACCAGAGATGAGCTGCGGGGAAACATGTGGATGGGACGGTGCTGCCCTGCAGGCGGTTGTAGATGTTGTTGTCAGGGCATGTGGCAGAAAGCTGGTGATTAGAGAACAACCAGGCTGCGTCTAATACTCATCTTGTAATTCATAACGTGTCAGAGAGCAGTGAAACTAAAAGAAACTGCCACAATTATACTAAGAAGATGCGGTTGTTTGCTTTGTGTAAAAATCAACAGGAAGAAGAGCTGTGGATCCTCACATCTGATGAGCCTCAGCCAAATGTTTCACTCGACTTGATTTATCAATTTTCAGAATAGTTCTCAGGTGGTTTTCTTGGTTCATGGTTGGCGAACAGCACTGCAAGGACATGTTGCTGTGCTTCAAACTCTGTCATCTGTCTCATGTTTGTCAGATTGTGTGTTGGCGCCCATCTGATCATTGCTCTGAAGCATAAAGATGGAGATGTAGGCTGCAAAGAGTCTAATTACATCCCACATGCAACAAGGCGTTATCCCTGAACTCTGTACATTTCAACTCTAGCCTTCGATTGCTCGCAGACAACAAATAAACAAACCTGTCTCTATCTGTTCCTCACTCCTCCACCCCTCCTTCCTCCCATACACTTGCACATCATGCACAACATGCACCATCCCTGCCCCCCCCCCCCACCCCCAGTATGTGGTCAGCCAACATGTGGGGAGGTAATCCCAGCTATTAGGGTAATCTCCTCAGCATGACGATCAATAGGGGAGGGTGTGCATGTGCGACGACTACCAGACATAGTTGCAGGGGGACACACACACACAAAAAAATCGTGCTAAAGAAAAATGATTTAATCGTGTAGACTGGGTCAGGAGACTGGGGTCTGGACAGGGGCTTGATGCTGGAATGGGGGGAAGGGTGCAGACAGAGCAGACAGGAAGATGTGTGGGGTAAGGCCCATCTCCACTTTGGGCAGCTCCCTCCTGTGACAATGGACTGGGGCAGGTTTGTTTTTCTCAATCTAAGTCAAATCAAAAGAAAGATGCAGCCACACATCTGGAAGCAAAGGCATCAAATAGACGGTGACACAGCCAATGTGGTGAGAAAGCAAAAATGGACGCAAATACAATCAATAACATATAAAGAATTTATTGTTTATCAAAGTATGTAACGACAGAAACATTTCTTGTGCAAGATAAAACTGAGTAAAATATTCAGCTTCACATTTCTTAACATAATTGAAAAATATCCCTTTAATTCAACAATAATAGTTACAATCTGTTAAATAAAACACATCACATAAAAACTAAGCTTTCGAGTGTTGAGATGAAGTCCATGATTCTGCAGGGAGAAAAACACAAGGGAGAATTCAACACGTCTTGTATGACACAAGTATGATCATCATTTGATAAAGCCACGTGCAAACCAGTAAGTTAATCAGTTATGACATCGCTGTCTTATCAAATCCTTTTTCCACTTGCTGTCAAC